CATAGGGTGGATTATCGATTCTTGTGTTCTGCATTAAACTATTTATAGTTTAAGGGCCTGGTTAGAAATGTTGCCTTAGACTAGGAATAGCTAAGAGCTTGTTATAAAATGATTTGGCCTTAGATTAAGAATAATTTAAGAGCATGGTTGAGATATTGAATATCGAATGACTTGGAATAAAATATTGAGAATATCATGAATGTTTGAATCATATATTGTGTGCATGATATCAAATGGTTGATTATGAATTGAGATTCAATTTATTTGGATGTTCGACGCTTTAGATATGCTTACTCAGCTTCATCGCTGAGCGTGTAGTATGTTTTATTTGCTACACGCAGGTAGACAGAATGAGTGAATGGCATGTTCTTGGCAGCGGAAGGGGCGAGACAGTCGTGGTGGATTTATTGAGAAAATAAATGATTCTGTTATTATGAACCATGTTTAAAAATCGCTTCCGCATTAAACACTCCGTATTTACTACAATTATGTTTGGAATTTCAGTTATGATGAATAAAGTTATTTGAAATGTTTTAAATTATACGATTACCAAGTTAATACTTTAGTTCGGAAGGGGTTGTAAACCTGGACGGATTAGGGTGTTACAATTTGGTATCAGAGCAAAGTGAGGCCGGAGACAGATATCTTTCTAATCTGTATGGTATGGGACATACAGCTTGGTAAGATACATGTAGCCGGTGGAGGTAGATATCTCTCTAATTTGTGTGGTATGGGACACACAGCTTGGGGAGATACATACAGCCAACTCATGATCCTTGGGAACCCTCGCGCGTGAACGGTGGGGAAGCGTGACTCCCCGCCTAAGGGCTCAAGCAATTGAGTGCTTTGATAGGACCAAATTGTAGCCACATAGATGTGTTACAATTTGGTATCGGAGCAAATGGTTTTAAACACGATCTTCGGATCAATGTTTGATTTAAAAAAAAAAATATATTATATATTTTGGGTAAAAAAAAAAAAATTATTGTCAATCACATCCACGACTCTCGCATCCCTCTGCTCCAGGAAAGGCATGAGAATTTACTTAGTAAATATTGACTTGTTAAAATTCTCATTTGATAATAATTGTTAGTACTGAAATTATATCGAGCATAGACTCAAATCGAATTTTCGTATTCGGTAAAGAAACAAAAGAATAAAAAAATGTATAAACCTCTGATACGTTATCAACGTACGCATCGCATCGTGAATGACGAAGTTGATCTGTACCAGAAAAGTCGCACAGAAGTGAGATGAACCTGAAGAACGATTCGTGTTGATATATGTTGAGAAACATCTGTTAAGTCGGTGTCAAAGATCCTCATATGGGCTCAACGCGAACCAATCGTTGACGCAAACGAAAACGTTTAGAATTAATAAACCCTATCGTTTCTTCCAATCTCTCTTGATTGTTTTCAATCGTCGCAACTGTTGTATACCTCGTGATATCTGTTATCAACACACCTATGCAAATAAGGAATCCTAATAAAGAAATTCCTACTATTTGTAGAATGAGCCAAGAAACTGCACGCGAACAAGATAACCAAGTGCAAAACAATGGACACACAACGGTTCATATTGAAATATCGAACTTCACTCTTGTTGTCCAAAAAGAACCAGACAATCAAAACACCCACCAAGATATTGAAGGTCACTCTAATGCTTATTCAAGAATCAAACCCGATACTAAGGAAAAGAAGTCTTTGACTGGAACGTTTAGTGCCCCACCCTTGAAAAGAAGAAAACCTTTGCCAACTCAACACAAATTAAGAGTGTGGAAACATCCAAAGTGTAACACTTGTAGAAGACATCACCCAGGAGAATGTTGGATGACACAAGGATTATGTTTAAATTGTGGTAAATCTGGGCATTTCCGAAAGGAATGTCCTACAAAACCTTGGAAAAGCAATGCCGATGTCCCTGTTCCAAGTCAGTCTACCTCAGCCCAACTTGCACTAGCAAGAAATAACCCACAAACAAAATCATGCACGTGCGTATGCAGTGAAAGACCGCGTTGAAGAAAACTCTGGCGTCATCATTAATACATTTCCTTATTCGATAATTTATATCCATGTACTGATCCGGGATTTGCACTATCTAATATCTATGTAATTCCATGTTGAATAAACCTCCGTTGAGATTGAAAACTCAAGGATTCCTTAATAAAGAATCATTTGATCAAGTGTTTTCTCTTTGAATACCTATTCTTTTCATACGCGAATAAAGAAAGAATCAATGAGACTCTATACCGACTACTGTCAGTTGAACAATTCGTTATCCTTTACTTTGTATCATGACTTATTTGATCAGCTTAGAGGATCCATTGTATTCTCTAAGATTGACTTACGGTCAAGATACTATCACATCTCTGTTAAGAATGATGGACAACTGACGATCGAGAATCACTACCCTTTACTACGTATAGATGATTTGTTCGAAGAACCTGTTTGTTAAAAGCTATAGACATCTCGACCTTGTTGAATGAAATGATGCCTTGCTACGAAACGACTAATGATTTAGTTGTTTATCATAAAAACGTCGATGTAGTCTAAATTGACAAAATGAAGTAAGTGATTAAGATAGTTGACTCGTTCGTATACCCTTTTGACGTGAAAGATTGCGACATGGTGATAATACAAAACAAAATGTGAAACAGTGACACCAACAGTGAAAGACTGAAGAATGAAGCAAATGTAGCTCGCATATGACTAACCATTGATGTTTATGGATAATATTATTTAAACACAAATACAACTTGGATTACGTGTAGAAAGTTATAAATGCAATTCCAAGTTTAGTCTTCTAGGATTCACAAACTCATCGTAACTAACCTCTGGTCCCGGGAACGCTTTAGCAAACTCTAGTTTGTCTAAAAGCTCATCAACAAAGAATGAAGAAATAAAAAGTTTCCTTTGATTCAAATCCATGAAGTTCTGCCGCACCGCATCATCTAGAAATTTGAGTAGGTTATTGAAATAACCGTCAATGTTCAAGAGACCAATGGGTCTATTGTGTAACCCTTCAGAAGCCCACGAGATCAAGGTGAACAAACCTTCCATAGTGTCAACTCCTCCAGGAAGAATGATGAAAGCTTCCACGGCATGACTCATCTCAAAATATTTGTAATAATTGCTGGAAACTGTGTGCTCTACGCCGTATGTAGGTCCGTAGACCCGTCGTGTTGCTATGTACCCAGGAATGAAACCTCTAACGAGACCTCCATTGGTAAAGACTGTTGAAGCAACAGCTCCTTGTAGGCCAACGTTTCCTCCTCCATAAGCAAGACTAATTCTTCGCCTTATCAATTCTCTTCCTAAATCTACTGCAGTAGCCATAAACTTTGGATTTCTACCAAGAGAATGACTGCCAAGAAGACCAACGAATCTTATGGTGTAAGGAAGTGTTCGAGAAGTTCCTTCCATAATGTGAGAATGTGAGATACTCTTCCCATAATCGTGATATATATAGTCTCTAGAACCTGACCATTGATGGAAAAGTAATTATCACCAGCCAAAATATGTACAGTAAATGGACTCAAATTACCTGCATACGAGAACGTACTCGCTAATGCTATAGTCTGCTGACGATATGACGTGTTGAGACTCTTGAACAGTTAGATTCGTTGTCCTAAAACACGTTCAAATCCGAGACGAAAAGTCAAAATGACTATTTCTAAGACATCGAACCCTTGAGTAATTTCCAAAGAGTGAAACATCGAAAGAAGAAAATCTACGATTTGTAACGGCAATTCGCAAACGCTATCTTTATATCTCGTGACTCGTATCCTTGAATTACTCAAACTTGATGCGTTAACTACACTCTTGAAACATCTCGCTCGATCAATCTTGAAAAGATTGAATTCCATTGTTGTATCAAAATATTAAACCCTTGGGAACTTGTCTTAATTCATCAAGATACGTTATACCGATCTTTGAAAACTACACTCTGTGAACTACGGTAAAAGCATTCTGATTGGAATATTATATTGAGCCTCTCTTTGTGAACCACAAAATGGTTGATGCGATTACGTTATCTCTGAAGATTATTATCGATGATCTCATTTGACCAAACAAACTCCGTTATGACCCTACTAAGGGAATGTATGTGCAACAACCAGAGAAGAAGTGACGCCACAAGGATCAAGTTGAATCATTCAAGTGAAGATTCTGAACCTATATGCGATGTTGGTGTAAGAACTAGTAAAGATTCCTCACTCTATGAATTCATGAATTGAATCACGCACTGAAGATATTATCTTCTTCACTCGAAATGAAATCAACCATAGTGTTACATCAAACCTGTCATTATCAAGAACGTATCTGGATATATTCCAAACTCGATGAAGAAATTTGAATACGACAAGACGTATATGAAACGCCACTCTAACGTTATCACCTGTGGATACGAATTAATGCAAAGACTCATTAACGATAATGAGATCTACCATGAAGTAAACGAAGGAATGTTTTGGTATAAGGTCGATAAATGACAAGCTACTGTACAACGAGTAGTACCTCCTCATAATGCATGATAAATCCCATGCCCTGAAAATCTTGGACCACGAAAAGCCATTTGATGTTACTTACAAATCATTCTGAACTATATGAATAATGTGAAGATGTCTTGAATGACTTGGATGATTTCGCTAAAACGTATGGATTGAAACAACCTCGGAATCTCCTACTACATCTATTGTGATTCAAAACTACAAATGCTGCTAAGGGACTTTCAATCAAAGAAAGAATGTTGTTGACTAATGACATACAATCGAGATTTGTGAATAAACGAAATAATGTACAAATATGTCTAGTATGATCCAAAATACGATGTTATACCTTGCAAAGGAACTTAAATTATGGTTGTTGAATCTGAGCGGGAACCTACGAAATGGATTGTTGGATGCCTTGCCTATTAATCTCTTGGAGAAAGAACGAGTTTGATAACATCGATAGTTTGAGAATACGTATCCGTTTGGACAATGAGGTAATTATGGTTTAACCAAATGAACATGACACGGTCATGATAAAGGTGAGATCACTACGAAATGTTAAACGTTGACCATTAGAAGAATTTCAAGGACGAAATTCCTTTAAGGGGAGGAGAAATGTAACGCCCCGAAACATACCCTAGAATTATTATTAAATAATTATTCGATTAAACAAATTTGTTTTGATTATTATTGGGCTTTGGGCCGATATGAAATATTTTTAATATCCAATATCAAAATCTGGATAAGTCTAATCGAGATAAATCCAATATGTGGACTATTTGTGTGGTCTTGATTGGGAACCTGAGTACAGACCCAAATCAAGAATAAATAAATTAATTAATTATGATGTGAACTTTGTAATGATTTATTAAAATAAATCATGAGAATAATTGATATGAATTAAATGAGAGAACCTTTTATGAGAAAGGTCAATTAAACCAATTTTGACTCTGTTAAAGTCAAACACCCAAAAATATGATGTCGGAAAAAGTATTACAAATAATTATGAAAAGTATATCGTTGGATAGAGCTCGACTGTCTGATCGCAACAGTGCAAACGAGTTTCAATTTGGAGAAAGTTGGACCAAAAAGTGTACCCCGACTGGAACCAAAATAGGTCCCAATCAAGGAACTGTTTAGACGGCGCCTCCTTCCCCACTACGCCGATCGCAGAGTCACCTTCTTCTTCTCTCCTTCTCATTATATAAGAAAACCCAACCTTCTCATTTCTTCACCATTCTTCTTCATTCTTCTTCCTAAATGTTCATGAAAGTGTGAGGAGTGTTGTGGTGCTGTCAATTT